TGCCTCCCAAGCCACGGAGGAAGAAACCGGTGACCAAACCGACCCAACAAAAGAACCGCCCAAGAATGTTAGAGGAGGGTCTTGGGGAAAGAAGTGGGAGGAGGAGAGCAAGGAGGTGCGGCGGCCAAGATGACTGAGAGGTTTGAGGACATCTTGTCGAACAAGGAGGAGGCATACGTCAAGCGCTCTAACATCAAGGTGGAAAAAAGGCAGAGAGGTTTAAACTGTTGATGGAGGCAACCGAGAAGAAGGTTAATCTCGAAGGGAAAAAGGCCATGCTCAAAGAGAAGAGAGCCATGCTCGAAGACAAGAAGATGATGCTCGAAGAAAAGAAGATGAAGATCACAACCAATGCGAAGGACGCCAAGATGTTTTCCTTGGATATGGAGGATTTGGATGCCGACGCAAGAATGGTCATGTAAGACGCCTGCTAAAAGATGTTGCAGTGGCATAAAGATGAGTTGGAGGCGGAGGACAAGGAAGAGGAGGAGGCAGAGGATGCCTATGAGGCAGCGACGACACCGCAAGCATGGAGTCTTAGATTGCCAGTTTGGCAGGGCAAAAAATAAAAATATATTGCAAGGACCGTCGGACTGATATTCTTTTGTGACTAGGCATATGAAAACTAAGCATACTTGCCTCCTTTTGGTTTTGATCCGACAGTGGTGTGATCCTGTGTGCGCTATGGATCGGACTTTATTTCAATTTCAAATTTCCCTTTACTGACAGACATATACATGATAGCATTGGATGTTTGGCTCCCGCATCAGTCCGCGGACTGATCCCCCGATCCATGGACGGATTCAGGAGCCAATTTATGGGTTAGCGTTGGAGATGCCCTAACACCTGGACTAGTAGAGTATTTCTTGGTTTTCGTATTACTATGTTTGGCATCTTCACCTCCGTGTCTTAAAACGGTTGCAAACGTCCAGATCGATGTGCCTAGATTTTTTTTTCATCCAACGCGGTGTCATATATGTCGAACACGTCCGCACGTATGAGTTCGCACAAACTGGTGCAAAACTGGGGCTTTGCGGGAGTATGAACTTTCGTCATGTATGACTCCGACAACCCCGACCCATCCAAAATCTCATCCAGAGCCTGCGTTTTCCTCACTCTGTCCCTCCCCTTCTTGTGTTGGGATATCCTCAAAGAGAAGAGGGTGAAGCAATACAGTAGAGATAAGTATTTCTCTCAATTAATAATCAAGGTTATCAATCCAGTAGGAGGATCACACACACAGAACCTCATGAACAACACATGCACACACAAAAGCAATTACTTGCACCTAACGCGAACAAGGGGATGCCAATCCCCTCGGCTGTTATTTGCAAGGATTAAATCTCGTAGTGGTAGATAAATAAAATAAAATTTAAATGAAATAAAAGAAATAAAATTGCATCAAGGTATCTTTGTTTTTATATATATGATAAAATTTAACCTGGGGGCCATAGTTTTCACTAAAGACTTCTCTCTGGAACACATAGCATACGGTGGGTGAACAAATCACTCTTGGACAATTGATTTGAAAGCACATGGTTATGACGATATTCATGGAAATGGTCATGTACATAGGCATCACGTCCGAGACAAGTTGGCCGACTCCTGCCTGCATCTACTACTATTACTCCAACCGTCGACAGCTATCCAGCATGCATCTAGGTTATTAAGTATAAAACAGAGTAAGTCCTTAAGCAAGATGAGATGATGTAGACAAAGTAAACTCAACTAATATGAATAAACCCCATCGTTTACCCTTAATGGCAATAATAAAAATATGTTCCTTGTCCCTTTCTGTCACTAGGATAGGACACTGTAAGATTGAACCCATCACAAAGCACCTCTCTCGTTGCAAGATAAATCAATCTAGTTGGCCAAACCAAACGGATAAGTCGGACAGAAATAAAAAGCTATAACAATCATGAATAAAAGAATGCAGAGAAGACTCAATTAATATTCATAAATATTCACATCATAAACCCATAATTCATCGGATCCCAATAAACACACCGCAAAAGAAGATTACATCTGATACAACTCCAAGAAGATCGAGAAGCACATGGTATTGAAAACCAAAGAAAGAGAAGAAGCCATCTAGATACGTTGGAAACGTATCACTCCTCCGTGTCCGCTCCCTCCTAGGCCAATGATGCCGTTGTACAACCCCGGCCTCTCGCCCAAGCCTTGCCGAACCTCCGACGCTCCACCCGAGTACCAGGCCCTCTTTGCCTATGCCACAATTCCATCCCTCGTCTATCCACCGCCCAGGTACACTCCGCCCTTGTAGCTATCGTCTCTACGGCGGATCAATCAAGTGACATCGAGCGTTGAATCGAAAGAGGGCACCAGGGCATTTGGCGTTGGTTGATGACTTCTTTACCCCCGATTCTCTTTTCGTCGATGCTTTCGGATGTGGGGAAATGTTTTTGATTGCCTCTACAATGGTGTCCAGGTTTATGATGACTATTTCATTTTGAAGAAGGATGTCAGTTGAAAAAATTGGGTTATCTGGATACTAGTAGTGCATGGCTGCATTGAGGATGCTTGCCTATGGTACAGCCGCAAATCATGATGTTCAAATCGGACACCACACGAAGGAGGAGTTGCGTTGCCGGTGCACCACGTCTGCCATGACATGGCCGTTAATGGAGGAGGTGCTGCCGTGACCGCGAAGGTAAACAGCCGCCGCCTCCACTAGCTCGGTAGTTCCGAGTGGAGTGTTGTGTTAGCCAAGGAGATGGTGGCACGGGAGGCAGGCGCGCAACCCGTCGCTGACCATGGTGAAGACGTCCACGTGGCGGCAGGGGCAAGGGCAAGGCTCCCTTGCCAGCGTCGGCTTTGGCCGTGGCGGCTCTCCGCTCGACACAGGAGGAGGTGGAGCGGCTTCTCCGTGAGGAGCCATGCGGCGGCTGAGCAGCGTTGTCACGCCCTTCTGCCGCTGGAAGGATCACTCGGACAACGAAGACGAGGACGACAATGATAATGACCCACACGACAAAGGAGGTGCCGCCAGCCAGCCGTATGAGGTCACCGTGTGTTGACACTAGTTTAGGTTTTTATTCCAGTTCTTAGTTCAACGGATGAAATGCGTTCATTTTATGTAAATTATGTCTAAACTTAAATGGATTTTTTTTTGTGTTCTCATGGTTTGTTAGAATTTGCTTTAAAATGTACGCGGACACGATTGGACGGCCTAAGAGCATTACTAGTAGAACCCTCAAACCCTTAAACCCTTATAGCAGTTTAAGGGTGGAGAAGTGCCAGTTTTTGAGACTTTTAAGGGTTGAAAAACAGGGGCAAAGACTAGAACCCTCAAACCCAACCCGTAAACTGCTTTAAGGGTTGGATTTGAGGGTTCTAGTTTTTGCCTCAACCCCAATCTTTAAAGATGTCATTTCATATAGCACACATTTCATCATATGGCATATCACAAATTCCATCACAATTGGCATAAAACAATAATCGTCGGTATAATCCGCGGGTATGCCATAAGCGAGTACCCGCATTGCCGCCGATATCTTTTGATCTGCACTAAACCCCATGATACCGGCGGCGGATCTACGACGTTTAAAGTAATATGAGGCGGCCTCACAATCGGTGACAATCTTCACAAACAAACTATGCCGCATTCGGTACCTTCTGCGGAAGAGACGAGGAGGGTACGTAGGTACCTCAGAGAAGTAGTCTTCCATCAAATATTCGTGTCCGAGAGCGCGGTTCCGGTAGATGGTGACTCGCCCCATCTTCGACCCTCTCCTCTGATCCATCAGCTTCACGCGGTTCTTAAAGGATTGCACGTCGATGAGGAGGCTCATCATCTCGACGTCATCGTCTTGCAACAACTCATCGATGTCCGAATCATTGGATGACGACCAACCCGACGAATCGGACAACGAGTCCATGTCGTTGTTGTTCACCTCCATCTACACAATACAACAAACAATAAATTGTGAGTGCCAACAATGAAAAAAATAAAACAAAAAGAAAGAAAGGAAAGCATACCTGCGGGGAGCCTGACGGCTGAGGC